GCTTAAAGATTCAAGTCACATATCTGTGGACTTAAATCTCGCTGAACACAGAGCAGTGAAGTACAACTCATAATTCAAAGCATATATTAGACACATGGAAACAGGAAGTACTTGTGATTGGCTGTTGATGAGGAGATGTCGTGTCCTTTGTGAGAAAACTCCGCCTACTCTGCAGTTGATCCCAGACACGTTTTATTTCCACGCTGACGTCAGCTTTAACTGACACAGTAAAATCCCAGCTGGGATGTTGGTGATGAACACATGACAAACTCATGGGAGCCACTAGGGACGTCCCATCAGCTGGTAGGACTGAAGACGCCTTTCAGATGAGACGTGAATGACTTTAGGAAGCTAAGAAAGTCCAGTTGGCTTCACATATTTGCACTTAAGACACAGATAGGTGGTTCAGATCTGCATGTTCTCAAAGACCTCAAGACAGGAGGCAAATTCACGGTCCTGGTGTCAAACTGGACTTCTTTAACTTAAAACTAGTGACCAAGTCTTAGCTGGAGACTAAAACTCTCATCACCACTGAAATGTGATGACATTTGCTCCCTGTGCAGGTCTGGGATCTGCAGTGAAATGAACGAACAGCTGAGTGTTGGAAGCCATGCAGAATGCACCTCAACACAGAGTCATCATTTTCTAACGTAGCAGAACCCAGAGTTTAGCTACTAATCCTGTTCTCCTCCTTTAAGTTACTTAGGAGTTGGATTCGTTTGCTTACTGTAATACACTAATCATATACATGCACATATTTGATGATAACCATGGTCCCTCATGGTCCCTGATGGTATTGACCTTAAAGAAGCTGTACGTTCTCACCCAGGATGTTCTCCGTCTTGTGCCTCTCTATGATCTGAATGTCTGAAGCTCCAGCTGGGATGTTGGTGATAAACACATAACCTGATGACAAAAACAAACTTGTCACTGAACTGCAACACAATTGTAAAGAAAACACACTCCCAGAGTTTATGAGCAGGAACACATCTCTGTGAATACGAGGACTCAGTCTGGTGAGGACAGATCTCTGGGGAAGGCTGACCCATCTAAGTATGATTGTAATGCACTGGTACTGCATCACACCACGCGTCGACGTCTGCCTCCAACATTTTGAAACATGGCTGTAGACAGTTGGACTCCTGATTAGATCCAGTCAGTTTGGATCCATCGCTTCATAAGAGTTGCGTTGCCTGCGATTTCCAGTCCAGATCTAATGGGGCATACGTCAGCCTGTTCTCCCTCTTTCTGTTCCTTCACAGTGGCTTCTTGACAGCCGTCCTTCAGAGCACTTCTAATGAGGCTTCTGTGGAAAGTAAATGAATCAGCCGAAGGCTCAGATGCATTTCTCAGGTCCTGTCAGGTCTTTGCTGGATATTTTCCTTATTACTGAAGACATAACTGTTCATCTGCTGTAGAAT